GGGCTGCCTGCAGCTGAGACCACAGTGAATGCGGCAGCCTGGTCCGTTCTCAGGCTTCCAGCTGCTTCTCTGTGCAGCTTCTCAGTGGCTGCACATTCTCCCCCTTCGGGCGCCTGTGGCCTGGGTGCTGCCAGAGGGGCCAGGCCACCAGGCAGAGGACAACCGTCCTCCTGGGCACCAGCTTTCCTGCCTCAGGGACAATCTGTGGTCTCTGACCCCCAGAACCACTCGATTCCTGGTGGAAACCCAAGCCCAGGGCCCCTCTCCTTTCTGCTGCTAATAGCACCCAATTAGAGGCTATTTCCTTGGCCCTCCTCACAGCCAGGAAGGACACCCTCCCACCACACAGAGGTCAACTAAGCCTGAGGCTGTGCTCAAGGCCCCGCCACCCTCCTCCAGCCTGTCCCCCGTCAGGTGCTCAGCCCAGTTCCAAATGATCCTGGGGGGCCAGGATCTGATGCCCATGGGCCTGGCCGCTAGTCCATGCAGCACCGCCCCCCCTACGCCCCCCCCACCCCCGCATGCAGATGGGGCCTCACCTGGGCTGTGCTGTCCCTGTAGGAACAGGACTAGGAAGGCGAGAGCTGGCCCCAGCATCTCCACGAGGCAGGTGGCCGGGTGGCTCCGTCTGCAGGCGCTCTGTGCACAGGCCCCACAGCCTCCAGTCAGGGGGGCCGGGAGAGCACGACCCGCTGCTGCTCTGGCCACAATTTCCTCACCCAGAGGCTTTCTCGTTGACTGAGAGCTAACGAGGCTGCTGAAAAAGCCACAGTCCCTCACCCGGTTGACAGTTCCCACCAACTGGCCAAGTTTGCCTCAAGTGGGTGGGGCTCACAGTGACTCACACCAGCTTCACAATCTTGTCCTTCGCTCTCCCCAGCCCAGCAGCTTTGTGCACAGGCAGAGCCAAGAACTTGTCCAGCTCTCATCTCACTGCCATGGAGACCTACATGGGGCCACACGCCTTCATCCTAGACGTCCCTTCCAACACTGTGGGGGTGGAGGGGAGAGTGTGGCTGAGAGTGGAGCCCTTGGTAGGTGGGGGATGGGGAGGAGTTGGTGCTAGAAAACCCTATAGGCCTGGGCGTTCTCTGCAAGGTCACGTCCGCCTTTAACGCTGCAAACTGAAGCGCTTTCTTAAGAAGCTGCTGTGGCTCCAGGTCCCTGCCTGTCTGCCCACATTCCCTCCCTCCCTTTCCCACTTTCCCCTGGTTGTTCTCTTCCTTCCCTACCTTCTCACACACAGGGCCTGACCCCTTTCCCGTCACCAGGGAGGGTGAAGGCAGGGACTTTCCCTTTCTTCTGCTTTCCCGTCATAGCAAACACTTCCAGTTCCCCTCAGGCCAGCCCCTCTCATTTTCCATCCTGTGACCCACTTCCAGCCCTGAGTCTGAAGCTGGGCTGAGAGCACACGGAGACGGGGCCATGAAGGTGGTGGTGCTCTGAACGGAGGACTGCATGTGGGGTCAAGGTGCAGACTTGGCTTAGGGAAGCTTCCCAAAACTCGTGTCCGTAGCCTTAGTGGAGGCGGTGTGGTGAGCGGCCTTCAGAACCCAGGCTCGGAGCCATCCACCTGGGGTGGCTGCACTCCCAGCTGTGACCTACAGGGAGCGCCAGCCTCTGTGCCTCCTGTCCTCACCTGGAAACGGGGACAGTAACACCTTCTCTTAGGTGCGAGGATTCAGTAAGTTCATGCATGTAGAGCATATTCTAGAACAACCCACAGCATTTACGAGAACTCCAGGCCAAAGATCACTATGTACGCACCATGTAACCTGCCCTCCAACCAGAACCACTACCTTACATCAGCTCCTCTGCGGCTCCACCAGGAACAATACAGGCCGTTTTCCACCCACACCTGCTTACCTTAACCTCTAAAGAGTACCTGCCTCCTGGCACCTTTTTAAAAAAATCTGATGGTTTCACCCAACATTAATGCTGCCCTTTCACAGTCTGAACATCTTTAAGGATTTCACCTGTCCTTTATAGGATACTCCCATCCAAAAATAGACATTGGTGGGTGACAGAATATGCTACCCCAAAATATGCCACTTTGGAATTTCGATTCTTTCAGCTGAAGGCAATTTTTCTTCCCCTACAGCACATACATGGACTTTAGGTGTTGTGTGTGCAAACTGTCACAGAGGAAAATTTTTCCCTTCCTCTTCCAGGCTCTTTGGCTGACCTAATTAAATTGACATAAAACAGATAAATTTAATTGCTCAGAAACTCCATTTCTTTAATACGACCCTTTCTGCCCTAGTCAGTTTGGCTCAGTGGCTAGAGCATTGGCCTGCAGACTGAAGGGTCTGGGGTTCTATTCTGGTCAAGGGCACACCCCCGTGTGGCAAACTCAGTCTCCAGTAGGGGGCATGCAGAGGGCAGCCAATTGATGATTCCCTCATCACTGATGTTTCTCTCTTTCCCTCTCCCTTCCTCTCTGAAATAAATATATATAAGCCCTTAGGATACCAGATTCTGATCAGCATCAAACTGAGTTAAGAACAAATGGCTACAATTGAACAGACTGTCCAACCTATGAGGGAAGGCAGGGGGTAAGGAGGTAAGAGATCAACCAAAGGACTTGTATGAATGCATATGAGCATAACCAACACACACAGACAGTAGCAGGGTAAGGGCATGTGCTGGGGGGTGGGGGAGGGGGGCTGGGGAGAGGTCAATGGGGGGAAAAGGAGACTTATGTAATACTTTAAACAATAAAGAATTAAAAATTAAATAAAATAAGAACAAATGGCCTCAGATTGTTAGCTGTGTGATCAAGAATAAACCCCGAAGAGGATTAAAAATGGCAGCAGAGTAAGTGGAAGCTACACAGACACCCTCTCAGAATCAAACTGGAATTACAGCTAAAATACAACAACAACAAAAAGCATCCTGAATAATCAACTGAAGACTAGCTGGAGCAGTGGTCAGCAAACTCATTAGTCAACAGTCAAATATCAACAGTACAACAACTGAAATTTCTTTTGAGAGCCAAATTTTTAGTTTTAACTTAAACTATATAGGTAGGTACATTGTTATTAACTTAATTAGGGTACTCCTAAGGCTTAGGAAGAGCCACACTCAAGGGGCCAAAGAGTTGCATATGGCTCGCGAGCCGCAGTTTGCCGACCACGGAGCTGGAGAGAACCCTGATAACCAAGGACTGAAAGTGCAGACCACATAGAGACTGGTAAGAGGGGCGAGGGCAAAAAAGGGCTGTGTCGGTTTCCCACAGAAAAGCAGCTGAAGTCCCAGAGGGATATCTCACTCTGCGAAGGGTTGCCCCTGAGAACTCTGGGGTGTAACCCCCAAGCAGGGCCCCCAGCAGAGAGCACCAGAACTGAGAAGGGTGCCCACATAACATCTGGCTGTGAAAAGCTGCAGGGTTGCTGTCTGCCAGGGAGAGACAGCTAGAAATTCAAGGCACCAGACCCCGAATAGCTGCAGCAATCCCTGAGAAAAAAGACCAAAGTTGGAGCAATCACAAAACCAGATATCAAGCTATACTACAAAGCCACTGTCCTCAAAACTGCCTGGTATTGGCACAAGAACATATAGACCAATGAAACAGAACAGAGAACCCAGAAATCGACCCAAGCCATTATACTCAAACTAGAGGCCCAGTGCACAAATTCATGCACCAGTGGGGTCCCTCGGCCTGGCCTGTGGGATCGGGCCAAAACCGGCTCTCCAACATCCCCCGAGGGGTTCTGGATTGCAAGAGGGTGCAGGCCAGGCCGAGGGACCCCACAGGTGCACAGTCGGGGTTGGTGAGGGATGCGGGAGGTTGGCCAGCCGGGGAGGGACCGTGGGAGGGCTCCAGGGCATGTCCAGCCCATCTCGCTCAGTCCCAATAGGGCGGACCCCAGCAGTAAGCTAATCTACCGGTCAGAGCATCTGCCCCCTGGTGGTCAGTGCACATCAGAGTGAGCAGTTGAACAGCCTTAGCATTACACTTTGATTGGTTGAACAGACGACCAGACACTTAGCATATTAGGCTTTTATTATATAGGATAATATTTGACAAAGGAGGCAAGAGCATACAATGGAGACAAGATAGTCTCTTCAATAAATGGTGTTGGGAAAATTGGGCAGATGCATGCAAAAAAATGAAACTAGACCACCAACATACACCATACACAAAAATAAACTCAAAATGAATAAAGGACTTAAACACAGACAGGAAACCATAAAAATCTTGGAAGAATCCATAGGCAGCAAAATTGCAGACATATATTGTAGAAATATCGCCACCAGTACAGCTCCTAGGGCAATGAAAACTAACGAGAAAATAAACAAATGGGACTACATCAAAATAAAAAGCTTCTGCACAGCGAAAGAAACCACCAACAAAACAACAAGAAAGCCCACTGCATGGGAGAACATTTTTTTGCCAATGTTATCTCCGATGAGGGTTTAATCTCCAACATTTACAGGGAACTTATACAACTTAACAAAAGGAAGATAAACAATCCAATCAAAAAATGGGCAAAGGACCTAGATAGATACTTTTCAAAAGGAGATACAGAAGGCCGAGAGACATATGAAAACATGCTCAAAATCACTAATCATCCGAGAGATGCAAATCAAAACGACAATGAGGTACCATCTCACACCTGCCAGAATGGCTATCATCAACAAATCAACAAACACCAAGTGCTGGCGAGGATGCGGAGAAAAAGGAACACTCGTGCACTGCTGGTGGGAATGCAGACTGGTGCAACCACTGTGGAAAACATTATGGAGTCTCCTCCAAAAATTAAAAATGGAACTTCCATTTGACCCAGTAATCCCAATTGTAGGAATATATCCCAAGAAATCAGAAACACCAATCAGAAAGGATATATGCACCCCTATGTTCATAGCAGCACCATTTACCATAGCTAAGATTTGGAAACAGCCTAAGTGCCCATCAGCAGATGAGTCGATTTAAAAACTGTGGTACATCTACACAATGGAATACTATGTTGCTATAAAAAAGAAGGAACTCTTACCATTTCCAACAGCATGGATGGAACTGGAGAGCATCATGCTAAGCAAAATAAGCCAGTCAGTGAAAGATATCACATGATCTCACTCATATGTGGAATATAATGAACATAAACTGATGAGCAAAAATAGAGCCAGAGGAAAAAAATATTTTAGAAGTAATCCTGTTATTTGCAGGTTTTAATAATTTCTACAACTTTTGTGATATCATACTATGTTAGTACAGTTTTGGTAATATACTTAAAATCCTTTTACCTCTTGAAATATTAATGTTTATCACATGTAATATTATTATGTTAAGATCTTTTTCTTGAATTGGTGTTTATTGTATGTAACATTATCATATTTAAAATAATTTTTCTTGAGATATTAAGGTTTATTGCATGTAACATATTTAAGATCGTTTTTCTTAAAATATTAAAAATAATAATAATAATAATAATAATAAAGATATCACCCAGAGGAAAAAAAATTCAGGCATCCTCTTAAAGAGCTAACACACAAAATTTCGTGTGCAGCCACTTACCCTGGGCTCCAGCAGAGGGAGGGCAGAGTGGACTTGAGCTGTGTGAGCGGAAGCCAGAGATGGGGCCTCTAGAGTTAAAACATGGAGGGCAGACACCCCGGTTTCTAAGCTGAGTCATTCCCTCACCTGCAGAGGACAACTCTCTCAGAAGACCTTTGCTATCCAGGTGGTTTTTGCCTCAGGGTAAAACAGTTGCCCCACCCTATTGGAAAACCTCACGTTCAACCTGTGGACAATTGCCTTCGGCTACTCAAGACTGAATACACTCAGTGTGCAGGCAGAGGCGATCTGGAGGCTTTGAGTCATTGCCTGATCTTTGCCTGAGTCAGAAACAGTGTAGCAGATCTACCTAATACATAGCCACAAACCCAAACAGGCAGCCAAAATGGGGAGATAAAAAACCAACCCCCAAATGAAAGAACTAGAAAATTCTCCAGAAGAGCTAAATGAAATGGAGATCATAAATTTATCAGACAGATGAGCCGCTTCATCGGTGCTGTTGACCTGCCCCTGGCTCCCCCGTGTCTCTCCGCTTGTCCTGCGATGCCAGTGAGCCTGCAGGGATCTTGAGCCTGGAGGAAGTGGACAAGAGGCTGAAGTACCCGCTGCAGGTCAAATACTATGGGTGGAGGTCAATAACATGGGCAAAGTGCTGACGCTCACCCAGGTTCAGAACTGGCCCACTGGTATTTCATGGGATGGCCTTGATCCAAGTAAACTCTACACCTTGGTCTTTTTTAAAAAAAAATATGCTTATTGATTTCAGAGAGAAAGGGAGAGGAAGAGAGAAACATAGATTAGAGAATCATTGATTGGCTGCCTCCTACACGCCCCCTACTGGGGATTGAGCCCTCAACCCGGGCATGTGCCCTTGACTGGAACTGAACCTGGGACCCTTCAATCTGCAGGCTCTCTATCCACTGAGCCAAACCAGCTAGGGCTACACCTTGGTCTTGACAGACCCAGATGCTCCAGGCAGAAAGGACCCCACATTTAGGGAATGGCACCATGTCAACATGAAGGGCAACATCAGCAGTGGCACCGTCCTATCTGATTATGTGGGCTCTGGGCCTCCTAAGGGCACAGGCCTTCACCGCTATATCTGGCTGGTTGACGAGCAACCCAAGCCACTGAAGTGTAACAAGCCCATTCTCAGCAACCAATCTGGAGACCACCGTGGCAAATTCAAGGTGGCATCTTTCTGCAAAAAGTACAAGCTCGGGCCCCCAGTGGCCGGCACGTACCAGGTGGAATGGGATGACTATGTGCCCAAGCTCTATGAGCAGCTGGCTGGGAAGTAGGGGAAAGCCAGGAGACAGACATCGCCCCGGGCCCCCAAGCAGTGTTCTCAAGTTCAGTGATGCATGTTGATTTCTCCTCTTGCCTGTTCCCACTCTCACGGGTGAGACCTGAGCAGAGCTGGAGGGTAACTTGTCCTTCTGCCTGTCCTTTATCATTGTACAGGGTCACACATCTGGATTTATGTTTTGATCAAATTTGAACTCCATTTTGGGGAGGCTATTTTGGTACTATGATGTGGTCATCAGATTGTTAATATAAGAATAAGAACTGAGAATTTAAAGGCATATGCTCTGAAGAGCAGTAAGGAAACCTGCAGAGTCCCTTTGCTGTTGAGCTGCAGGGCTGAGCAAGAGGTTCTCTGAAATCCGTAGTCTGTGGTGTTAAGTTTACCACTCTCCATTGGTGAAACAAAAGCCATTCTGGAGTTGCCAAATGTGTTAATTCTGCTGTTTGATTACAGTTGAATAAAAACAAAAACATTGTGTGAACAAAAGAAA